ATTTTATTTTATTTTATTTGCTTGCGTAGTTTTAATTATTTTTAGTTTAGTTTTATGTCTCTTATTTTCTATTTCATTTTATTTATTTTATTTTATTTGTCTTGGTTTTGTTTTATTTCGTCCTTTATTTATTTTTATTTTATTTTATTCTTTTTCTTTGTCCCAATCCTTTCTCGGTTTTGTGTGTAGGAGTTCGGGTTTCAATTTGAGTCAAACGCCAAGCCCCATTTCATGAGCATGCTGCCAGCTCCACTGCCGCAAGAACCAACCTGCTGCCCCTTATCCTTCACCACACTCTTCCTCTCTATTCCCCTTATCCTCCACCACAACAGCACCTCACTCCCCTGCTCCCTCACGCACACAGCAGCCCACCGTTCCCACAAACCAACAACAACCATACCTCCAGCCTGCAACCCCGCAAACACCACACACACCAGCACCAACCACCGCCAAAACCGCCAGCATCTCCAACCACAATCAGCCACGCACTTCTCAGCTCACCAATTTCAGCCACTCCGCAATTAACCACCAGCTCCTCCAATCACAGCCACCACTACCCCCTGTTCTCACACCAACGCTGCAACCCAATACACAACCACAGCAACCCTTCGCACCCAACAACCAGAACCCCCTGCTGCCACCAGTCCACCACAATTACTCACCCGATTCCGCAATTGCAACCACCAACACCCCAATTATCCCCTGCTCCTTCGCCACCACAATCAACCACAGCAGCCACCAATCACCCCCGTAACAATCACCAACTCACCTGCGAACAGCCGCACCTGCACCACTGTCAACAACCAGCAACAATTAAGCAACCAATCGACCCAAAAATTAGAGTAAATCACAAATTTTAACGAGACTCGCACATGATGTTTAATGAAAATTGAACGGCCTTGATTGATTGCTGGTTGATGAAGATGTCGGTGATGATGGTGTTTTGATAAGGTGATTTAAGCCGATGATGATGGTTGTTCGATGATGATGATAGCAGCAGCCATAGATTTCGAAGAAAGGGAAATCGGGATCTGATGGTTTTTGGGGGATTTGTGGGTTTATTTTTCTTTTTCTTTTATTTTTATTTCTATTGCTTTTCCTTTTCTTATTTCTTTTCTCTTATTTTCTTTTTATTTTCCTTTTCTTTCTTTTTTTCTTTCCTTCTTTTTTTCTATTTTTCCTAATTTTATTAAGTTAGTATAAATACCCATTTTTGGGGTAATTAGAGACCAACATTCAATAACTATCTATTCTACTCTCTAATTAGTTTTAGGAGAGCTTCTCTCTCTAGGTTTAGGTTAGGATTAGCCTTCATTGGTAGAGAGAGAAAGTGTGGTTTTCTTCATTGATGAACTTGGATTTTGAAGAAGGAGCTTGTTCAATCCTTTGTAGACCTTCATCTTCAATTAATGAGCAATCTCTTACTCTTTCTCTTTACCTTTGTTTTTGATTTTGCTTATTTGCTTTGATTTTTCTTCTTTGCTTATTAATCATGTTGATGCTTATTGATTTGATGATTGATATTGTTTTCAATATGATTTGTGAGTAGTCACCTAGCCAAGGGTGTGGGGATGGTGTAGTTGCTAATTGTTAATGCTTATAATGTTGGGGTTATGTTAATGGTGATTAAAGTCTTTGCATGCTTGATATTCTTTGGTCTTCTTGCAAGTGCACGTTGTTAGTTGATCAAAGATGAGTCTTTGCTAACAACGGAAGTTGACTTAGTTGAGGTTCATTACTATCGATTGTTATTTAATAGTACCTCCTAGTATATGGTTCTAATGTGGAAACATAGAGGCTATGTTAGGAGAAACCAATTGACCCCGGAAGGCGGCTAGATTGGACCCTTTACTTCGATATTCATGCATGTTTAGTTCATAATTAATTCAATTTCTATGCCTTTGTTCATGTTCAAGTGAATGCTATACCTAAACCATTTCCCTTAATGTTTTATTTCTTGTTTTAGCATCTTTAGACTTTAGTTTATTTATCAAAGGATTTATTGAATCATGGATTTATTATTATTTATGCTTTATAATCATGTTGGTAATCCCGCTATGCGGATTTGATTTATTGATAAGGCCTTGGACTTTGCATGACCGGGTCTTTCCTCAAGAATAGCCTTGTAACATAAGGAGACTAGCTTGGGGGGTGTGCACACTTGGGAGAGGAATTGGTTTTAATATGAGGAATCGGTTTTAATATGAGGAATTGGTTTTAAAATAATTGGATTTGGTTTTATTGATTATTGATATTGGAATTATTGAGAATTGGTTTTAAACCATGAGTTTGGAATTATTGGATTATTTATTGGAAATTGGTTTTACACCATGTTTGCGAATAAATTGAGTTTAATTATCTTGCACTTACCGTACTTAGCATATTTTGCTAACCCGTACTTCTTATTTGTTTTGGTTCGCCTTGTTTACCGTAATGGTAAGCAGTGTTGCTTATTTTCAGGTTGGAGTCAATAAATGATGCATTGGAGTCCCGGGATTAGTTTTCACTAAATTAGGAATTTAGTCTTGTATCTATTTTGAGTACTCATAACATTGGTTACTATTATGGTTATTATTAATAAAGAAGAGTATTGAAGTTTCCGCTGCAAAGTATTGTTATTTTTAGTAAGTTGAGTAGCCTTGCGTAATCACGCGGCAGTAATACGCCTAAGTCTATCTCTACGGTATAATTATACGTATTATACTAGTATTTTCGTAGAGGGAGATTTGGGGGTGTTACAAAGTGGTATCAGATTTCAAGGTCCTAAAAAGATTAAAATTGTAATTAAAATTGTGGGTAGACTTAAGAGGGTATATAGGATAGATAGAGTTTCGCATTTGTGTGTGAGTCAAAAGCCTTATTTTTACTTAAAAACTATTTTCTTATTTGTGGAATGATGAAGGAGAAAAGGATTCTTGAGTTCTCTACGGAGGCCTATAATGGGTACGACTCTCTGTTTAGGAAAGGCTAGCCTCAACGTCGTAGGTAACTTTCCTGCGAGATGCGGGCTCGACCGTCCTTTAATCTCGATTCAAGTGCATATTTATTATTTTCGAAAATAAAAAGAATTGAAATGGTTTGAAACTTGAGTATGCGATTATGTGTGCATTAAAGTTGGTGTTAAAACACCTTAGAGTGTGGTCTAGAGGTCTGAATTTTTGAGTTATTACCCATGGTTGGGTAATCTTGAGTTATGTTTGGTTGAGTTATGAACTGCTTATTGAAAATGGATTTTGAATTGGATTGTTTGTGTGATTTGTCACTTAATTAATTGTTTTGCATGTATGTGTGAAACAGATGAAAATGATTGATGCAATGAGACACCAATATTTTGACATTCATTACTTGAAAGATAGTGGAGTCACAGTTAGTGATTTCATAACTGGAATTTGTACTTTGGCCTTGACCCTTTATGAGAAGGATGGTGAGGAAGTCTTGACCCAACAACCTTGGATGGTTCTTCTAGCCTTGGCCCATTTGCCTAGAATTAAGAAATACCAACCTCTCTTTGACAAATATGGGGATGTGATTAAGGAAGACGGAATGTGGAATGAGAAGCACCATCATGAAAGGAAGTGGTTAGCAACTATGTCTAGCCTTAAGAGGGACTTGCACTATGTGGAGCGCAAGTATGAACCTAAGAGGAAAGTTGTGAAAATTCCCACGATCCCAAAAGATCGAACCTTTGGACCTAATGACCAAATGTACTTCTTAAATGCCCAAGTACCTTTTTCATACCCAAAGAAGCGCCATGAGTATGGGGAATCTAGTGATGAGTCCGTACCACCTTTTGGTAGGAGCAAGCATTACTGTTCTCTTAGCCAATCTTTGAGCTATGAATCTTCCAAACATTCTAGCCCAAAAGCCCAATTCCACATTGCAAAAAGGCCCAGAACTCGTTCTCAAACTGCAAAAGAAAGAGCCCAAAACCCCAAAGCTTCTTCAAGCCAACCTTGTGGGGATGTAAGCCCAACAAAAAGCCCAAGTTACACTCCTGTCCCATACAGAAATATAAGTAAATCTGGGTCAAACTCATCAGACCTTATTCCAAGCTATAGTGGTTATAACCCAACTCTCATGGCCGAACCAAGCAATAGAAGTGATGATCCGGATTATGATCCTATTGAAGATGGTTATACCCATAGTGTTATTTGATTGTTTTTGAACTATGTTTTTGTTTCATGTTTCAATAATTGTCCTAAGTGACAAGGTTGTATTTTCATTAATTATTAATGAAATAAAATGAATTATTTGAAATTTCTCTATGTTATTAAGTGAATTAAATGCTTGTATGAGTAGAACTTGTTTTGATTTCCAAGTGTAATAATCATACCCAGGAATTATGTCTCCAAGAATGAGGGAACATTTAAGGAGTAAGCGCACTGGTTCCAAAGTTGGAAAGGTCCTTAAGCAGTTGACCCAAATTACTGAGAACATCACGAATGTGGTGAACAGGGAACACCAAAATCCTGAGCTTGATGCCAATAGTGAAGTCTTTAAGAGGGTAGCTGCAGCTAAACCACCTATTTACTTGGGAAAAGAGGACCCAGCCAGCCTTGAAAACTGGATTAGGGAATTTGAAAAGCTGTTTGATGCTATCAATTGCCCAAGCGAGCTGAGGGTGAACAATGGAGTTTACTACTTGAGGGAGGAAGCTGACTTATGGTGGGCCCAAAGAAAGGATGAGTTGCTGAAAAGACTAAACTTTGGGTGGGATGAGTTCAAGGAAGCCTTGAGAGAGAAGTTTTACCCTTCCTACCTTAGAAAGCAGAAGTGTATGGAGTTTACCAACCTAAGAATGGGAAACATGTCAATCAGTGAATACTACAACAAGTTCATTGAGTTGATGAGGTTTGCCCCGGAAGTAGTCCCTACTGAATCAAATATTTGAGCAAGGCCTAACCTTGACCCTCCAAGGGAAGCTAGGGGGAGTGACTTTTGAGACCATAGATGAAGTCTATGGCCGTGCAGCCCATCTGTACTGAATTAAGGGGAGGGAGATGGAGCAGGTGGGAGAGAAAAGGAAGAACCTAGACTCTTTTCACGGGGGTGAAAAGAGGCTCAAGCCTAATGGAAATTACCAAGGAGATTCTGGAGATAGGAGGGACAACAAGGGAAACTTTGGGAAGGGGAATGGGGGACAGTCATCCAACCATAAAGGGAATGGGACCAAATTGGTGAGAAGCCCAAGAGGAAGTATTTATGTAAGAGGTGTGAGAAAGACCACCCAGGGAAGGACTGTGAGGGAAACCCGGTAACTTGTCATTACTGTCAGAAGTTGGGACACCGTGAGTATGAGTGTGTCAAGAAGGAAGCTGATGTTAAGTCTAGGAAGGTGAAAGAGTCTAGTGCACCTAGTAAACCACCTCAGTTTAGTGGACCTACAACCAAGACTGGAACCAGTAGCGGTGCGGGAGGTGCCCCAAAGGGTCGTGTGTTCGTGATGAATAGTCGGCAGGCTGAGTCTGCTAATGATGTGGTAATTGGTGTTTTCTTTATAAGTTCTTTTCTTGTTAAAGTCTTGTTTGATTCAGGGGCGTCGCATTCTTTTATTTCTAAGAAAGTAGTTGGGAGTCTCAGGTTAGAGAGTCCTGAGTCAGTTTCTCTAGATGTGTCTATTCTATCTGGGGAAGTGAGGAGTTGTTCAAGATTGTTTTTGAGTGTGCCTATTTCCATCTCTGAGGTAGAGTTTTTGGCTGATTTGATCGAGTTTGACTTGAATGACTTTGATGTGATTCTGGGTATGGATTGGTTGGGAAAGTATAAAGCAAAAATTGATTGTGCGGCTTAAAAGGTCACCTTGACTAGCCCAAGTAAGACCAAAGTGGTGTATAAAAAGGAAGGAAAATTTCAGGGTTGAGAATTGTGTCTGCAATGCAACTACAGAAGCTGGTTAAGAAGGGTTGTCCTTTGTTTTTGTGTAGTGTTCAAGAGGTTGAAAGTGAGGAAAAGAAAGGTGAAGAGGGTATTCCTGTTGTAGAAGAGTTTCCAGATGTGTTTTCGGATGAGATTCCTGGTATGCCACCAGTTAGGGATGTTGAGTTCACTATCGATCTAGTGCCTGGAACTGGACCTATTTCTAAGGCTCCATATAGGATGGCTCCAGCTGAGTTGAGGGAGTTGAAGACCCAGTTGGATGATTTGTTGGAGAAAGGTTATATTAGGCCTAGTTCATCACCCTGGGGAGCTCCAGTATTGTTTGTGAAGAAGAAAGATGGAAGTATGAGGTTGTGTATAGATTATCGAGAGTTGAACAAGGTGACAGTGAAGAATAAGTATCCATTACCAAGGATCGATGATTTGTTTGACCAGTTGAAAGGAGCAGGGGTATTCTCAAAAATAGATTTGAGATCGAGTTATCACCAGATGAGAATTACAGAGCAAGATATTGCAAAGAGTGCTTTTAGGACTGTAGACACCCATTTGTGTCTCCCCAAAACCAAACCCAGTGATGAGTACCTTTCGCGTCGAATCATAATCGAATGAAGTGAAAGTGTGGAAAGTCTAGTGTTGCGGATAGTTTTAATTTCTTTTCTCTTCTCTCTATTTTTGAAAACTTATTTTAAGAAAATAGCCAATCCAGTTTGGTTGGTCCATGATATGGGTCCAATAGTAGTATAGTTGGATGGGGCTTGCAAAGACCTTTCCAACGATATATTATAAGCCCAATTCCGAGAATATTGAAGAAGTTATGGCCAATTTACTAAACTGGGCCCGGTTTGAGCTTTATATACGACCCAATGATCTTGAGGAGGGCCTAATATGATTTATCATTCCTAATGCAATTAGGAATGGTTTTAGTCTTCTAGATTCTTCTAGAAGGTTCTTTTCATTCCTAATTCAATTAGCATTGATAAATTGACTTTTGTTGACTTTTCAGAGTTTTAATTAAAATCAAACAACATTTTCGAGGAAATTATATGATTTTATTCTCCAGTACGACAAACTTATCTGATTTTCGAAAACGCGTTGAAGACAGGCCTGGCGCCTGACTCCAGGCATTGGCGCCTGGAACCAGGCATGGCGCCTGGTGCTAGCCATTGGCGTTTGGTGCTAGCCATTGGCGCCTGGCGCCAATTAGCTGGTGCTGGCGCCAGCTCTGTTTTGCGTGCGCCAATCTCGTTTTGCGTGCTCCAAGTGCTATGTTTTGATATTTTATCTTTTTGGCTGATTTCTCTATAAATAACGTATTAAAAACTCCGTTTTCATTCACCAATTCTCACGAATTCTCATCAACAATCAGTTTTCATTCGCAATAATTAATTCTCTAATTCTCTCTTAATCATTCACCAATTCTCATCAAGTTTTCTTGATTATTTCATCTCTCTCTTTCTCTTTTCTAAACTTTGTTTTCAAATACAAAATTCCGCATTCACAAGATCTAGAAACACCTAGCCATATTCGAAGTTGCCTTCGCCCTTGACGTGAAAGGTTTAATTTCTGAGGGTTTGGTCCCAAATCTCTCTTTCAATTATTTAATTTAATAATTGTTTTGATTATTATTTTCCTTGAAGTTACTAACGTGTGTATTTTGTTATTAGAAAGAGGTACGAGGCATCAAAGTAAGTGCTTTAATGGTTTTTATTGATGTTATGATGTAGAAATCATGTTGATATTGTTATTATGATATTCCTAGTATCATGTCTAGGGTAATTTTAATATTAAATATGATTGTTACGATGCTTCGTATGTTCTTCCTAATATTTATGATTGTTAGTATCATGTTAGGGTTAAAGATTTGATTTTTATTGCTTAGTGACATGCTAGGGTTTGTTATTAATCTTGTTAGTATCATGCCTAAGATCTTGCTATTATTATTATTATTATTATTATTATTATTATTATTATTATGCTTTAATATTAATATTAACATGAACATGATTATGATTATAATTGTTATAATTTATGATGATTATGAATGTTATTATTATTATTATTATTATTATTATTATTTTTATTATTTTGAAGATGATTATTTTATCTATGATGATATTATGATTATTATTATGACTATTATAATGATGGTTATGATTTATTATGATTATTGTGTTGCTTGATGATATTTTATTGCTATTGCTTGATCACACTTTTATGCATGTCTAAAGGGAATTTGTACTTGTAATCACACTTATATAAGATAATTAATAATCTTGTTAGGGTTAATTTGATTATAATTCAAGTGATCGCCAATAATAGATTTATTTGTGCATTAATATTCAACCAACATAGATTAAACAGGTTTAGAGTAAACCTATTGATTGCATGTTAATTAAAAAGCGCACATGAATACGATCAAAATAAAGTAGAGGCCTGTTATATGGGCAGGTTCAATCTCTTTTCGGTTGGATTTGTACCTTCATCCCCCAACCCTTATTTGGTTCTAGGCCTTATGGAGTTGACGATCTCTTGGATCGTTAAGGGGTGTAACCTTCACCCTGTGAACGGTTTACAAGTTCCTAAAACTTGTTGGTGACTCTCTTACTCTATCTTCTTCCCTTTTGGACGCCACCGTACTTTAGTGTATGATCTCAGTGGGTTTCAAGCTAAGGGGATTAACGCTTGAAATCTATTCCCTACAAGGACCCGTTATGGTCATTATGGGTTCACAGTTATGCCATTTGGTTTGACCAATGCACCTGCAGTGTTCATGGACTTGATGCATAGGATTTTCAGGCCATACTTGGATAAGTCTGTAGTGGTGTTTATTGGTGATATTTTGATATATTCAAAGAATAAAGAAGAGCATAAGGAGCATTTGAGACAAGTGTTGTCATGTTTAAGAGAGCATCAGTTGTATGCCAAGTTGTCTAAGTGTGAGTTTTGGTTGGAGAAAGTAGCATTTTTGGGCCATTTGATTTCCAAGGACGGAGTTTCAGTGGACCCAAGCAAGATTCAAGCTATGAGTGATTGGCCAACCCCAAAGAATGTGTCGGATGTAAGGAGTTTCTTGGGCTTAGCAGTCTATTACAGAAGGTTTGTGAAGGATTTTTCAAGGATCGCGAAGCCCATGACAAGTTTGATGAAAAAGGAGCATAAGTTCTCATGGACCCAAGAGTGTGAGGAGGCATTTAAGATCTTGAAACAAAGGTTAACCACAACACCTGTGCTGGCTTTGCCGGATGGGAGTGATCTATATGACGTGTATAGTGATGCATCGAGGTTGGGATTGGGATGTGTGTTGGTGTAGAATCGAAGGGTGATTGCGTATGCCTCGAGGCAGTTGAAGGTTCACGAAGGGAATTACCCAACCCATGATTTGGAGTTAGCTGCAATAGTGTTTGCCTTGAAGATTTGGAGACATTACTTGTATGGGGTGACTTGTAGGATTTTCACGGATCATAAGAGTTTGAAGTACATTTTCACCCAGACGCACTTGAATGGGAGATAGAGACAATGGTTGGAGTATATGAGTGATTATACATTGGATATTCAATATCGTGAGGGAAAGGCTAATGTGGTGGCAGATGCTTTGAGCAGAAAGTCAGAACATACGGTGAATGTGATGGTAGTCCCATATCAGTTGTGTGTGGAATTTCAGAAGTTGAACTTGGAGGTGATGGAACATGGTGAAGTGGCTAGGATGTTGAATGCCTTGGTGGTTCAACCATCCATTTATGATGAGATAAGGGATAGTTAATTGGATGATGAGAAGTTAAAAGCAATTAAGAAGAAGATTGATGAAGGGCAAGTGTTGGATTCCACCATTGGTGATGAGGGAAGCATTCGTTTTAAGGGAAGATGGTGTGTGCCGCAGAATCGTAGTGAATTGAAGCAAAGATTGATGGAAGAAGACCATAATTCTCCTTATTCAATGCATCCTGGAGGGGATAAGTTGTATAAGGACATGAAGAAGACTTTTTAGTGGCCCAATATGAAGAAAGAAGTGGCTGAATTTGTTGCTAAGTGTTTGACATGTCAGAAGGTGAAGATTGAGCATCGTAGGCCACAAGGAAAGGTCCAATCCTTGGAGGTGCCCAAGTGGAAATGGGATTCTATTTCTTTGGATTTTGTGGGAGCTTTGCCAAAGACCAAGGCAGGAAATGACACTATTTGGGTGATAGTGGACAGGTTGAACAAGTCAGCAGCGTTCATACCCATGAGAAGTACTTGGACCATGGATCAGTTGGGAAGAGCTTATGTGAAGTTTGTGGTGAAGTACCATGGGGTTCCCACGGATATCATTTTGGATAGAGATTCAAGGTTTTGTCTAACTTTTGGCAAAGTTTGCAAAAGGTGATGGGAACTAAGTTGTTAATGAGCACAACATTTCATCCTGCGATAGATGGTCAGACAGAAAGTAAGATTCAGACATTGGAGGACATGTTAAGAGCGTGTGTGATGGAGTATCAAGGGTCTTGGGAAGACCACTTGGATTTGATAGAGTTCTCTTACAACAACAGTTACCATGCAAGAATTGGGATGGCACCGTTTGAAGCTTTGTATGGTCGAAAGTGTAGAAGCCCAGTATGTTGGAATGATATAAGTGAAACTATGGTTCTTGGACCAGAGATGATTGAGGATATGGTGAAGCAGGTTAAGTTGATCCAAGAAAAGATTAAAGCGGCCCAAGATCGACAGAAGAGTTATGCTGATCTGAAAAGGAGGGAAGAGGAGTACGAAGTAGGAGAAAAGGTTTTGTTGAAAATTTCACCCATGAAAGGTGAGATGAGGTTCGGGAAGAAAGGAAAATTAAGCCCAAAGTACATAGTGCCTTATGAAATCATTCAGAAAGTGGGAAAAGTGGCTTATAAGTTGGATTTGCCTAACGAGCTTGAAAGGGTTCACAATGTG